TGAGTAGCTAGGATGACAGTGAAATTGACATTGTTGAGGTCTCTCATTTCATTCTTTTTGGGGGGAGGGGGCGGTCCGGTCATGGGGGTCTGAACTCTGGGCCTGGGCATTGTCCCTCAGCTCTTCAGCTCAAGGCTAGCGCTCTACCACTTGAGCCACAACGTCACTTCTGGCTTTTTTTTTCTGCTTATGTAGTGCTGAGGAAACCCAGGGCCTCATGCATGCGAGGCAAGCGCTCTACCACTGAGCCAGCTTCCCAGCCCTCTCATCTTTTGCTTCTCTTGATATGTGAATCATCTCGGTGGCATAAGGGTTTGAACTGTCAGCTCTACCTTGAATACCATCATACAGAGTTAAGACTTCAATATATGAGTTTTGCAGGGATGCAACCCAGTCCAAAGGAGCCATTTGGAAAATGGCATCTATTTTCCATCCCAGATAATAATTAATAGTTAATGAAATACAGGAACTAGCAAGGAATTGTACTTATGGTTTCAGCAAACAAGAGGGTGATGTCAGTGTCTTAGAATCCCTGAGGCTTAACATAGTGATGTAAACACCAGTGCTGACCAGTGGCCTCATTTAGTTCCATTCCCAGAATTCTAGCCAAAGCCAAACCTGCCCTGTCCTATGAAGAAACATACACTGTGATTCAAAAAATAAACACCAATGGTAAATAAGACAGAGTTCACAATGAGCCCATTCGGCTAGGCCTTCTGGAGGAAATAGGGCTAGCCATATACATTATGAGAGTTAATATTTATCCAGAAAGGTTTTTACTTTCACCTTTAGTGATCACCCAGATTGCAACAAGTCCTCCAGAAGAAAAAGACTCAGCCTTTCCGGAGCATTGACCTATTGATTAGTCAATGGAATTAGAGTACAATGTGATTTTATTGGCCTGAAGGGTTTTTTGTTGTTGTTGTTTGGGGTTTTTTTTAACTGTATTTTTTTTGTCTTTTCTTTTATTGTTACTGGGGATCGAACCCAGGACGTTGCACTTGCTAGGCAAGCACTTTGCCACTGAGCTACATCCCAGCCCTGGCTTGAAGGGTTTTGTGTTAGTTTCTTTCAGATTTTTTTTCTGTCAGCTGTGAGTCTTGAACTCAGGGCCTAGGTGCTGTCCCTGAGCCTCTTTTTGCTCAACGCTAATGCTCTACAACTGGAGCCACAATACCACTTATGGTTTTTGAGTGGTTAATTGGAGTCTGATGGGGACTTTTCTGCTCAGGCTTGCTTCAAACTATGATCCTTAGTTTTTAGCCTTTGAATGGCAAGGATTACAGGCCTGAGCAACCAGCACCTGGCTTCTTTCAGATTTTTGTTAAGAGTATAATTTATTTTAATTTACTGGCAGAGGGATAATTGTTCGATTATTACAGCACACAAAAGGAAAGATAATGTGAATATTCACTGAGAAATATTTGTATTGTTATTTAAAAGTGATGTACAGAGGGGTCATGGTTACATAAGTCAGGTAATGTGTACATTTCTTTTTGAATAGTGTCACCTCTTTCAGCTTCTTATAAAATAAGATCTTGGAACATAAAGCATTATTCAGCATAAGTTGTTACTATTCAACTTTGGTCCAGAGAAGGAAAGAAGATAGATAGGGGAAGCAGAGGTGAAGCCTTTGGGACATGCGGGACTCCAGCTGCCGTCTGTCAGCCAGAGGAGGTGACATCACAAATAGCTGACAGTGTGAATAGCAACGCAGAACTCTCTAGCGAAAGCTGTATTCAGGGAGAAGAGGGGCCAAACACTGGGAAGTATAGGCACATGCAGCAACTTTCCAAATAAGACTTCTGGAATAGAGCTCAGGAAATAACACAGAGTAATCAAGGGGATTGCACCAAATTCAAAGGCTTCTGCACCTCAAACAATGTCCAGAATTAAGAGGCAGCACACAGAAAGGGAGGAATTCTTGTCCAGTTATTCATTAGATAAGGGATTCATATCCAGAATATATAAAGAACTCAAAAAAAAATTAAACAGCTCTCAAAATAGGTACAAGGGATAATAAGCCCATGAAAACATGTATAACATTTTTAGCTATAAAGAGACTGCAAATCAAAACAATCTTGATTATTGTTATAATTGTCCTGTTAGAATGTCAGACATACAGATAACAAATAACTCCGGTGAAGAACCCTTACACACTGTGGATGAGAATATCAGTGCAGCCACTGTGGAGATCAGCTTCTAAAAGTCTCAACAGTCAGAGTTTAGAGAGGATAAAGGGCACGGTTACCACACTGTGATTAACAGACCACAGTCACACCGCCGCACACACTTCTCACACGTACCTCATTGCTATGAAAACTCTGGACAGAACATGCTCTCAGATGTGTACAGAGTTTATTTAATATTTAAAAGCATTGACTAATTAAAATATTGATTTGCTTGACCTCTCATTGACTTTAAGCTATGATTGAAATTTTCCTTGGAATGATGGAGTGTTTTTCTGAATTCATGTTAAGCAATAGGGAGGCTGTAGTGACTAGAAGCTGGGTCTTGGGTTTGCTCTTTCCAGTTGTCAGTGTTTCCTTTTAATTACTCTTCACTTGATTGATGGAGAGCATGCGGTTTTCCAGTAAGGTAACAATGTAAGTATTTGCTTACATTTCTGAAGTACTTCCTGTTTTGCTGTTTTTCCATTCTATTTACAGATGTGGGACATTTGAATGAGTTACTTGTTTTTCCTTACCCTTTCTGGCTTCTTTGTGACTTTTTTTTCCAAAACAGACTAGACAACTGGTGGCAGTTACAGCCACAGCTGGTATCTTCCTTTGCCTTTCTTCATCATTCCCCACACAAATCCCTATCTTTACTTCTGTTTCACCTGGATCTTGGTTCAATGTCCTTCTATCAAAGTATAAAAACAGATTTTTCTAACTCCCTGATTCATTGATCTTTTCATTTATTTACTCAAATATGGTGAAGTACCTAACTAATCGGGTCTTCCGATGAGTCCTTGGAGACACCAAAGAGAAATAGGTCAAGATTTCCATTATGGAAGGGAAAAGGACTTTTTTTTTATATTTTTTTATTGAGATTAAATGATTACATAAATTTCACAAATTTCACAGTATGGTGGGATAGTCATGAACACATTTTAACCTTCACAAGGCAAATTGTCCTTATCATGGTCTCTAAAGTTTGTGATTTCTATGAGCTTTGACAATACAACTATTTCTTCCACATCCAGTGATATGTACATTTCTTTCCTTTTGCTTAGTGTCAGCTGTTCCCTTTTTCCCTCTCATTCCCTCCCTCTCATTGCTGCCCTGGATTTGCTTAGTTCATTTTCATCAATGTTCAGCAGTTGATGGGCCCCTCTGTTGTATATTTTCCCCTGTCTCCCTCTGATTCTGTACCCTCCTCCTAGCTTCAGAAATAAATAGACACAGAATATTAAGTGCCAGGATGCCTGATATGCAGCCCGTGCTGATCTGACTTCACACATGTTTGAGCCCCAACTGTTATCACAATGTCCAGAACATAGCAGCTCACTACATTCCTGAAGAAGATAGTTTTATGTCCAAGATTTCTTCTAACTTCCTTCAGACTCTCTTAGCTTCCTATGTGTTTGTTTGACTCAGCACCAGATCTGAATAAATGATTGTAGACTATATTTCCTTGGAATATATATATATATATATATATATATATTCCAAGGAAATATAGTCTACAATCATTTATATATATATATATATATATATATACAATCATTTATATATATATGTACATTAATATCCCCTGCCAGTCCCAAACATACTAAAATTAATTGAAAATAAAAGCATAAGTGGCGCCCTTGTCATTTGAGAAACAAGCGCATTAATTGGTGTTTAATGTCATAACTGTACCTGATTAAATTAATTCACTTACCAAAATTCACAATCTGGAAGCAAGCCTGCCCTCTAGTGTTAGAATTGGTCTATGGACTCGATGGATCAGACATTGGCAGAATGGACCTCACACTTGGAGGTTATATATCTTTTAGAAAAGTTGAGTCTGCTCTCTCATGTTACTCTTTTTTCTGTGACCACATCATTCTCTTACAAAAACATGGGTCTTTTGTGACTGAATTCATTCTGGTAGGTGAAGCAGACTGATCTGATCTGCCAACTCCTGTTCTTTCTGTTCTGGTAATACAGATAAAGATAGAGACAGGTATAATATATTTAGTTCCTAGGGAAATTTAGCTTTGATAATCCTAATTACACTGAATTTATACCTTCCTACCCCTGTGCAATTTTTCCTCTTTAATTGGTCCTTCAGAGGTATCTGTTGCTCTATTCTGATTATACACATTCTTTTCTTTTTTGTACTAAGAAAGTCATCTGATGTAGGATGTATGACCGGCTCAATGCTTTTTCTCTCTTGTTTCTGAATGCTCCGTGCTGGCCATGGTCTGGGACCAGTCAGTGGCCATCTGACGTCTCCGCCTGCACACCAGCGCCCTTCCCTCTCACATGTGCTCCTGCCTTACATGGGATTTGCACAAAATATATTCTGTATGAAAACGATACCAACATTACACAACCTACTTGGCTTTTTCTTGTTTCATGGCAGTTTTAAAAATAAAACGCCTGAAATGAAGTTCATAAAGTTATTTTAGAAAAGCAAGATATACATGAACTTATCCGAAAGTACTCACCTCCTTGTCTTGCAGTGAATGAAGGAAACAAACAAAGAAAAGGCAGCTTGTGTTATCTGCAGAGATGAAAAGATTTCTTTCTAAGCTCTCCATCAAATACAGAGGACAGAGTAAAGATTGGGTTAGAGCCAATTGAGACTGAGACTGAATCTTAAGACCAACCATAGTCTTGTACATCTACATTGAATGGCAAGAAGTCAAAAGATGTCACAGTTGAAATACTACCAGAGCGTGGAAAAGAAAAGAACAGAATAGAAAAGACATGTTGAAGAGGAGTCTGGGAGGCGAGAAGAAAAGGCTTGAACATGGGAGACTCGTTGGAGGCCGCTCTGCTCTTCACTCACTCTGTGATTTTCCTCAGGGTTCTCATCAGAGCGAGTTTGACATCCTTGTTCCTCAGGCTATAAATGAGGGGGTTCAGCATGGGTACCACAAGGGTATGAAACACAGAGAAAAATTTCCCTTGGCCCACGGACTCGGTAGATGTTGGTCTAATGTAAGTGAGGATTCCGGAGCCATAGAAGAGGCCCACCGTTACAATGTGAGAGCCACAGGTGCCCATTGCTTTGGACCAGCCCTTGCCTGACGACATGTTAATAACATTAAAGAGAATCAAGGCGTATGAGATCAAGATCATGAGACTGGATAGAATGACAATTGCACCAACAACAACAGAAGTCATGAGCTCGTTGACGTAGGTGCTGCTGCAGGAGAGCCGGAGCAGGGGGAAGATGTCACACATGTAGTGGTTGATGATGCTGGCATCACAAAAGCTGAGCCTGACCATGCACCCCGTGTGAGCCACGGCACCAGCTAACCCCAGCAGGTGTGAACCCACCATCAGCAGAGAACAGGTCCTAGGGGACATGCGGACAGCATACTGCAGGGGCTGGCAGATGGCCACGTAGCGGTCATAAGCCATGGCTGTCAGCACGTAGCACTCCGAATTGACAAAAAAACAGAAGAAGAACAGCTGCGTCATGCACCCAGCATAGGAGATGGTGTTCCTCACAGTCATGAAGCCCATCAGCATTTTGGGGGTGAAGACAAATGAGTAACAGAAATCAATGCAGGACAGATTAAAGAGGAAGAAGTACATGGGGTTGTGAAGGTGTGAGTTCAGGCAAATTAGACTCAACAAGCTCAAGTTTCCCACCACAGTTACTATATAGTTCAGCAAGAATAAGGAGAACAGGGGCAGCTGGAGCCTGGGTCGGTCCGTCAGCCCCACAAGAATAAACTCTGTCACGGAGGAATAATTTCCCACAGCCATTTGCTTCACAGATGGGATCTGGAGGAGCAGTTGAAGGGGACATTGACTATGGACTCTCTGTTTTGTCCCCAGTGGAAGGGCTGGAGTTGCTGATCCCCACGCTTAGTCAGTGTGGGTTCCATGTGGGTTCTTGAGGAATCCCCATTTACTCCTCCCTCCTATGCCTGGGGTCTCTGTCCAGAGAGAGTGCGGATACCGTGCCCCGGTCTCTGAGCTTCACTCTTTTCTGATTCTTAGTTTTCACTAAGGGTTAGAATGAAAAAGAACAATAAGTTAGCGGCCTTCTCTGGAAAGTATAGCTTATATAAGCTTTGGTTTTTGAAGGAAAATGATCAAGGCAAAGATGATTGGGTGCTCACCTTTGTTCTTGTGGGAGGCTCGCTGTTGCTGAAATTCTGAAGCCTTCTTCTTTTCTGTCCTGAGGTGCCCAAGGGTTTTTATTTTTGATGATGATGAAGGACGTAGCAACAATAAGCACAGATCTGTCTCTGACAGGCTAGAGGAGCAGCAACCCTGGGTATCCTGTCATGGAGTTTATTCAACAATATCTCCAGAACTTTCTCCTTATGTGAGAGAAAGGAACACATTTATGGAAGCCTCCAGGCACGGTCTCACTCAAAAGGAGAATGGATGTCATGAACCACAATTCTGGGAACACTGGCTGTACGTGTGGAAAATGTCTGTCTCCTTTATGAGGGCCTTCCAGGTCCCTGTGAGAGTAGAAAGTAACATCCTGTGACTTAGACACTTGGGTCTTTGGAGACAGTAGATCGTGTTCAGTTCATCAATTCCCACTAGGATACTTAATTCCCAGCACCGAGCGGCAAGAGCTCCCTTTTGCCACTGTTCTGATCCTATCCAATGCGGCCCTGCCAGAGGGAAGCCCAGGCCTTGTTATGACATTTCCAAGTTTGCTTAGAATGTATCTTATTAGACTCCTCCTGCCCCGCCCCACGCACACCACTCTCCTCATCCCCACTCCCCCTTTTATGAAAATGGAACCACAGAACCACTGGAATTGTTTTGCTTTTGTCTTACATTTTTAAAATCTTATTCATTATTAGATATGTGGGTTTTGGTGCCACTGTAAATTTTTTTTTTGGAGTCCGGTCGTGGGGCCTGAACTCTGGGCCTGGGCGCTGTCCCTCAGCTCTTCAGCTCAAGGCTAGCGCTCTACC